TAATCCCCTCCGATCTCATCGAGTTCGATATATTCGGCCATAGTTTATTTACCACTTAGATCTAATGATAATTCGTGTTCGTAAAATCTTCCTTGAATTTCACGATCGTCATCGTCGGGATTGATGAGTTTATACATGTTCGGATCACCGCGAAACACTTCCGACACGACGTAAACATCGTCGGTATAATTCGACGTGTATCCTTTCACAAAAGTATTGCGGTAAATCTGATCTCGGACACGATCTCCGACTTTAAATTTTGGTTCTGGAAAATGAGATAAGGGATAACCGTAAAGTTTTGTCCAGACTTTATCTTTATTGGTTTCGTTGACATCGGCAGGTTTCATATCGATCGTCCGATGTTTCGAATGATTATACGATGCAACAAAATTATCTAAGACATTGATCCATTTTTTTGACTTTGTCGTAAATTGTTGTTCGGTAAAATATTTCCACATTCTTGTTTTTAACGTTCTGTTAAATCTTTCGACGATCGCTGCTTTTTTTCCGGTCAGTCGCGTTGAAAAATAATGAATGTCGTGTTTTTCCAATAAACCTTTAACTCCATTATTGTAAAATTCTTTTCCTTCGTCAAATTGAACGACTTTGGGATAGCGTCCAAATCTTTCGTGAAATTGTTCCAAGATTTTTTCGACGGCCGGAACCATATCTTTCGTTCCTTTTCGATAGGCGGGCACAACAAATGCATACCGACTTAAAATTTCGATGGAGGTTAAAATCCATTTATAACCTTTATTTACATGACTGTATTTCTGCATATCTACTAAATCCAACTGTAATTGTTGTGCAAGTCCATCAACATACGTTCGTTGTGTTTTAAAATGAACTCGTGTCGGTTTGTGAACGATGTATGTATTTTGTGTTTGTAACCATGCTTTCACTTTTTCACGCGTGACACCGGGAATATCTTTTTTTACTGCATTTCTGTAAAGTTTTTCCATCGACATGTATCCACCGTTGACGTTAAAATAAAGTTCACGCAAACCAAGATCTAATGTATCCATAGTTTATAATAAATGAAAAAGATCACAGTTTTTATTCGGGACGGAGAAACTACGATGAAATTACAGAGTCCGTTGATTCTAACACCGACATCCAAACTCTACGTGAAAACCGTCGCCTTATTCTGGACGTACGAAAATATTCGAAAGGACGACAATAATTATTTTTCCGTCGACAAGAAAAAAGTCATGTTGAAACATGGATACTGGACGTTCAAACAATTACGTCAAAAATTAGAAAGTCACGGTCTCGTCGTCGAAGATTTTCCAGACGGACGGATACAGATCAAATTTGGAAAAAGCGTCAAATCTTTTAATCCGTGGAAATTAAATAATCTGTTGGGATACACGACGTTCTCGGAATTACATCCGGGTCAACATCCCGTGGATATTCACGAGGGATTACGTTACGTTACGATCGGCTGTAATTTAACGAACCGATCGCAAAATATAAATTCCGACGGCTATCCGAGTAATATCATCTCGTCCCTTCCCATCGACGGAACGAAACCCTTATTCGGCACGACGACAAAATACAACGACATCGAAAGTCAGGTTCAAGCCGATGCGGGGATTTACCACGAACTTCATTTCGACGTAAAATCCAATGTCGATGGAATTACACCGTGCAATGCTTTGATGGATTTGTATATCATCTAAGAAATAAAAGATGGAAGGAGAAGAACAAGTTTTTCGTGACTATTACGGAAAAAATTACGAAAGGGTTCGAAAAGCTTATCCGTTAGAAATTCAGAAACTTAAGATTAATTTTCTTAAAAAATACCCAAATGCTACATTATCCAGGTTTGAATTTAACGTGACGTTTGTAAAAGATGGAACGTTAAGTTCGACCGAAATTTCTTACAAGGTGGATGAATTCACCAGTTACGATATTACATCCGAAACATTTTTAGAAAATCCAGAATGGATTAAATATTTATATTGGAAAGATGGATGGCGGAATGTTAAATCCGATATGATATTTCGTCCGAATCTAGACTTTGCCGTGAATTTTCATACGTTCCCCGTTTACGTCTCGGAAACAAATTCTTTTCCCGTGGACTTAGAATATACAAAACCCGAGTACACGGGAACGGGAAATTTTGTAAATTTAATCCCGTTCGACTATCATCGGGATTTATATTTTCGTTCGTTGGCCGCCTGTTACATCGCGACCTTTAAATCCGGAAACTCCGAAAATCATCTGAATAATACATTGTCCGGTTCCCATTTGATCACGGCCATCGTGAAATTTCACGTTCATTATCAGATGGAAAAATTCATGAAGGATCCAAAATTAATGGATCATTATTTAAACGAGGACGATCTTCACGTTTTGAAAAAATACATGCCGACGACCGAAACGTGGGAACGTCGAACATTATCGTCGCATGCCAACGTCGGAACGTGGTATTACGGATTACCCGTCGATACGCGTCGTAAGATCCGGAACCAACATTACGTTCGGACACGGTTCGGTGGAACGTTCATCGAGTACGAATATTTAACGAAAAGACTTCCGAAAAATGTGACGGAAGATTATAAAATATTCATTCCGAAAACGTCGCGAGGATTGACGAAAATAGGACAACGGTTATTTCAACAGAGTCTGGAAGTTTACGTGTACGCGGTTCTCGGAGCGCAGGCCAAAACTCGGTGGAGTATCACGGGACAAGGTGCAAAAAGTTTACAGACCCAAGACGTATTTCGAAAAGTTCTAAAAGATAGTATCGTACAGAACGATATCACGACGATCATCCGTAACATGCGTACGGCGATCGCGGATACGAACGTCGTCTTGAATTTTGCCATCATGCCGGGCTTGATTCTCATTCCGTCCGACATGCGGATTTTACAAAAACCTTTGAAAGGTTACAATAATATTTTAACGTTGGCCAAAAACGGTATGAGTTTTGGAAAAAATGACGACGTGAATTTTACAAAGACTCCCGTGAAAGAACCAGCAAGTCCCGTGAAAAGCCCCGTGAAAACTTCGACAAGTCCTGATAAAAATTCTGTAACAAGTCCTGTAAAAACTTCGACAAGTCCTGCTAAAAATTTTGTAACAAATCCGGTGAAAACTTCAAAAAGTCCTACGAGAGATAAAAATTTACAAAATTCATCCACTTTGAAAATTTTAGCCGTCGCATCGATGGGAGTTGCTTATTTTCTATTGAAATAAATATGAGTATATTGATGGGATACGACTACTTTGACAAATCCGAAGATTTGAAGAAAAAAGTAACGGAGATCGAAAAGACACAGCAGGCGAATACGACCGAGATCGTAAAAAATGTGAGTGCGGTTGGTGAACTAAACGATATTGGAAAAAATTACGTTCAGTACGACGTTTCACAAATGATCGGTGTTCCGAGTTTTTACGAAACCGGTACGTTTTCCGTGACCGATCGGAAAAATGCAAAATTCATCACTTTCGGTGTTGGTGGATTCGAAATAAATTCCAGGGCTTATTCACCCTTTTATGGATTTTACGACGGAAGTGGTGGTAACGTCGTTATAACCGCAGTAACACAGCGGAGCACGCTCGTTCGTACGACGTTTACGTTTGCGTACGGTAGTAACAAAATAATAATAATCGGTCTGGAATTTAAAAATATAAGTTCGTCTGGAAATGCAACGAACCGAACCGAGGCAACGACGTTAAAATGTTTTCTTGTCACGACTTAGAAAAATTTTTTAAGTTTTGACAGCTTAAAAAATTCGCGTCAGTACGTAACCGCTTCCCACCCCTAGAATTCCAACCGTCATCGTTAAATAGTTTTGCATTTCGTTCGACGGTTGATAGTAATCTTCGAATTTCGGTTTACGATCCAATGCCGATAAATCCTGCCGACGATTATAATTTCTTAATTCATCCAATGCTTTATTCGTCTCTTCGATATCATGATTGGCATCTAAGATTTCCTGCCGTCGACTTAATTCATCGTTCCGTCTTTTCACTTCGGATTCGTAAAATTTTTCTTTGGCCGCTGCTAATTCTTCCAGCGCATGATTATGTCTTTGAACTTCTTCCTTGTACCCATTTTGATTTAAATGAGAAAATAAAAATCCCGGGCCTGCAAATGCGATCGCATTGAATAATCCACCGACTACTAAATTGGTTGTCATTTTGTTTATTTACCGATTGTTTCTGGAACGTAGCCTTTATCTTTGAGATAGGCCACGGCCATGGAACTTCCCGCGACGGCCACACCGAGTTTCATTGCACCTTCTAACGTCATCGGTGCACCCAAACTTTTTCCCGCAATTGTTTTTGCCGCGTACGAAATTCCAACGACTCCGGATGTTAAAAGTGCAGCATCGTATAAATCCTGAACGAGTTCTTTTTCAGTATCAGACATTCTCTCTTTTATTTCTTGGGAAAAGAAATAAAAAAATTTTATCGTTCTTTTAAAATTTTATTTTCGACCCGAAGTCGTTCTTTCTCGTCTTCGAGTTCGTCCATTTCATTTTCCAGGGATGATACTTCGTTTCGAAGTCTCGTTAAATACGTTATGACAAACGTACCTCCGCCAGCGATAAGACCCGTCGTCATCGCACTTTTTCCTGGAATCCATAAACTCGTCATCTCATCCAGGATATATGAAACACTTAAAAAACTTGCGGTCAGTAAGGCAATACCAAACAAATTCAGATCAGACATTCTCTCTTTTTATTTCTTGGGGAAATAAAAAAAAAAAAAATTTTATTGTTCTTTAAGTTTTTTTTATTTTCAATCTAGAGTTTTTCGTTCTCGTCTTCGAGTTCGTCTATTTCAGCTAGTAGGTATAATACTTTTTCTCTGAGTTCAGTAATTTCTTTTCCCTGATCGCAAACTTGAGATTCTTTTCTTTCCAGATCTTTTCTGGTCTGTCTAATATTTTCCTGCGCGACTAATCCACCTTTCCTTCCATGTAAAACTGCTTTTGGATCTTTTACAATATTACTTTTATGTCTTAGTTTGGTACGTCCTTCTTTCCGTTCTTTCTCGGAAAGTTGACGTAATTTTTCATCCTTAACGTTATCGATAGCTTCCATAACACCGGGTAGTGCATACCTTCCTGTTTTCCGAATGGATGGAAGAACATCGCTTACAACCCACCATCTGAATTCCTTAGCGGCGGGTAATTTTGAACCAAATACAAGATCGTAAATACCAGATTCGGTGATAAATATCGTATCAGGATGCATTGTGGCAAGATGCCCAAAATGGGCATCTTCCATATTTCTGTACTGAATCCTGGATCGAACATCCGTGTGCATGGTAACAGCTTTGGTCGCGTTCACATATCCAAGTGCAAGTGCTACCTCTTTCGCCATAAAATATACCTCGCTACAATCGTCCGAAATAAGCGTTCTAATCTTATTGTTCCCGATGATCGATGAGTTTTCTAAAATTTCTAACCTCATTCTCTTTTATTATCGTATAGAGTTTTTTATAAATACCTGGAAATCTAAACTTTCCTGATTCAGGGAAGTTCAGGATCCTGATCCTTCATTCCGTCGTAAATCTAGACTATCGCGTTTTGCGATAGTTATTATTATTATTATTATTATTAAAAATCTTATTTTACAACGGTTATCCTTCAACACACCTAGGTTATTGATTTCCAAGGAGCCGTTCACACTATACTAATCTATATTTACAAATGGAAGCAATACATAATAATTACATAATGTTAAAGTTATAAAGATATCACAAGTTAACTAAACACCTATTACTAGTTATAAAAGATATAAAACCATGCAAAACTGACTGGCCTTAGTTACATTTACATTTAATGTTTAATACGATCAAGCGCAGCCTTAAATTGCCTAATTGTGGCATCACTTGTTTTTACACATCTCGGTAAATTATTCCATGTTTTAGCACCATTATAGCTAATGCTTTTTTTCATAAAATTTGTTTTAGGCTTTTGTAGAGTAAACTCATTTCCGTTGCTACGTAAATTATAATTAATGTTATTTTTAATTTCAAACAGGTTCATCAAATTCTCTGGTAATTCATTTCTCTTTGCTTTGTACATGAATACTAAACTATTTTTTTCCCAATGATCAATTAGGGGTTTCCAATCCAGTTCCCTCAAAACTTCAATTGAAGGTGTCTCGTATGATCTGCCAGTTATGACCCTTGCTGCCCTGTTTTGCATTTTCTGCAACTTACTGATCAGCTGATCACTACAGTTGCTCCATACAAGGCTGCAATAGTCAAAATATGGTAATACTAGCGCATTGTACACCTTAATCAAAGTTGTTTTTGGGACACAGTTCTTTATTCGTCGTAGCATACCTATACCTTTTGATACTTTGCCCGAAATAGCTTCAATATGATTTTTCCAAAGTAGTTGCTCATCAATAATTATGCCCAATGATTTTGCGTGATTAGCCCTCTTAATTTTTGTATCCCCAAATTCTAAGATCGGGTCAGTTTCAACAGTCGATAATCTCTGGTGTGAACCAATTAGCATATATTCCGTTTTATCTTTATTTAATGTCAATTTATTGGCCAACAACCAATTGTGCATAAGCTCTAGGTCGAAATTAATCGCCGTTGTAGTTCTTCTTTATTTAAGCTTGCAGTGGTTAGATTTGTGTCGTCGGCAAACATATTCGCTTTAGTATATTTTAAACAATTTGGCAAGTCGTTAATATAAACAAGGAATAGCAGAGGACCCAAGTTAGATCCCTGGGGTACTCCACTACGAATTGTTTGCGGCTCTGAAATAGTTTGTCCAATCTTACACCTTTGGATTCTATTTGACAAGTATGATTTAAACCAATTTAGTTCAACCCCTTTTATGCCATAAAGTTCTAATTTTCTGAGTAGGATACTGTGGTCTACGCAATCAAATGCTTTCTTTAGGTCAAGAAAAACAACTCCATTTAGGTACCCTTTGTTTATATTTAAATACCATTCATTCGTAACAGATAGTAATGAAGTTTCTGTTGAATGCTTCTTTCTGAAACCTGATTGTTGGTTTACTAATATTTTATTACTTTCCAAATAGTTTGAAAGCTGATGAGATATAAGTTTTTCAAAAATCTTAGCAACCGCAGACAATACAGACACAGGTCTATAATTTGTGGGTTTACTTTTGCAATCCGATTTATAAATAGGGGAAACAATTGCTATTTTCATATCATCTGGAAAACTACCCGATAATATTGACTTATTGAATATTGTTGATAACGACTTAGCAATTACGTCAGCACAATCTTTCAGTAGTTTAGCCGGGATTCTGTCATGTCCAGTAGCTTTATTTGTTTTAATAGTATATAATAGTTTAGAAACATCTGTTTCAGTTACCAACTGAAAACGGAAAATGGTGTTTAAGGGTTTTACATACGATTCTGGTATCTGGTTATGTTCCGGAAGATCTTTTGCTAATTTGGGTCCTATGTCTGTAAAAAAAATATTGAAAATATTTGCAATTTCTCCTGGTTCAGTTACTATATTCCCGTCATCTGAAATTTCATTTATATTGGTGGATTTTACATTCCTATTTGTTAATTCATTAACTTTTTTCCACATTTTCTTTGGATTTGCCTCGCAATTACTAAATGCCTGCATGTAATAATTTGCTTTCGCATTTTTAACTATTTTAACCACTTCATTTCTAGCTTTTTTGTAGGCTTCATGAGCACACTTAGACCCATATTTTACCGCCTGTTTTTTTAGAAAATCTCTATTATGTATTCTATCTTTTATTCTAGGCGTAATCCAGGGTATATGTTCATTTTTGACTTTACGGGTAATCTGGGGTGCGTGCATGTCTGCAACCGCTAAGAACCTTTCCTTCCAATCATTCCAAACAACATTTGGATCTTCACTATTTGATAGCGTTTCTAGTACCCTACTTAAATCATATTTAAATGCATCCACTTTATAATTCTTATATTTCCTTGTATTTATTATTTTTGGTTGTTTACGGGAAATAGATATTTTTCTTTGTATATAAATAAGACTATGGTCGCTGATTCCTACATGTTCTATTTCTGCTCCAACAATATTTTCAGGTTTATTAGTGAAGGCTAAATCAAGCAAAGTAGCGGTATTATCTGTAATTCTAGTGTGTCCTTTTATTAATTGCTCAAATTGGTATCTGGTCGCAAGATCCTTTAGTTTACCGGTTTGCGCACTTCTGTTACTGTGGTTTGGGTCCCAATTACAGTTGTAATCTCCAATAAGGATGATTTCTTTATTTTCCGCGTCCATTTTCTTTAAACAATCTTCAAAATTTTCAAATTTTTCAGATCTGGTATCTGGTGGTCTATACCAGGCATTGATTAAGAATGGTTTAGATTTTGGCTTAGAGATTTCAACTGTGATTGCCTTGGTTCGCAAGGAGCTTGTTGAGATAACTTGAAATATCCATCAGTTTCACGTACGTCAGCTGGGCTCCATTTGGCTTGTAATAAATAATACCACGATACAAGGCGTGCTTAGACATTTCCATGACGCGTTCGATTTTTCGGATTGTGGATATGACGTCGTTTGAACATGTACCAGGTGCGACTGTCTCCAACTCTGTGTCCAACGTTGTTTCCACCACAAGACCGTCCGACTCGAGTTTTTTTATGGCGCTGTCGAATTCTTGCAGGAATCCACCGTGATTTACAATCACAAAGCAACAAGGAACGGTTGGAAAATGTTTCGGATGGAACTCCTCGTACTCTTCTTCATCTTCGCTTTCCGCTTCGCTTGATTCAACTGATGCGTTCCGATAGCAGTAGGTGTTGGAAACATCGATCATGTCCTGTATCGACTGATTGTTATGATCCTTTACCACTTGGAATAGCTGTCGAGCTGCCGTTTCCATTTCCTGGTTACCATTGTTTCTCACCCTGATAGGAGTTATTGTTGGTTCCACATCATGGTTGTGTAGGGCTGCGAAAAACGTGTTGTCGCTACACTTCTCGCTCGGCTCATAGACGACGAAGAAGGCGACGCAAGGGTACGTGTCGGTTTCTGCTTCTTGACTGTTCTGGTCACTTCTCGTTTGCTTCACGTTGGGATTTGAGCAGACGCTCGAAATGCACGAGAAGAAAAAAATTACTCCATCGATGGAATTGATGGCATCGTTTAGCAGCATCCTTTTAGAAGTGATCTGCAGCATCGCAAGTTCAACATCATCTTTGTGGACTCTCCACGTTGCGCGACACGCGACTGCTCGATGGTTTCGTTTAATCTAACAGACATAAAATAGCGAATGTTTATGCTTTATTTGAGAGTATAATTTATAATATATTCGTGTTGCGAAACATTTCTGTACACAAACAGTAAAAAGGTACAAACTTACCAAGCTCAAAATATTCGCTCGAAGCGAGTTTTGTAGTCGCTTAGAATCAAGTTCTTTCCGTGGCTTCGGTGGCATCTTGTCGAGTAATACGATATACAGTGCAGAGTTGTGGTGTTTGAAAAAAAACCAACAAAAAACGCGCTTTTATATGTTCATATAATATTTCTTAAATTTGCAAAGCAAATGAACAGTTTTTATTACTTCGGTCATCTACCACCATCATTACCATCATCACCACCACCATGACCATCATCACCACCATCATTACCATCATCACCACCATCATTACCATCATCACCACCATCATTACCATTATCACCACCATCATTACCATCATCACCACTATCATAACCATCATAATCACCATCATAATCACCATCATAACCACCATCATCACCACCATCATTACCATCATAACCACCATCATTACCATCATCACCACCATCATAACCATCATAATCACCATCATAACCACCATCATCACTACCATCATTACCATCATCACCACCATCATTACCATCATCACCGTACCACCATCATCATCACCACCATCATCATCATCACCCGACGATCATAATCATTACCATCATAATCATCACCATCATTAATACATCATCATCATCACCGTTTTCAACTAAATATTTTAAGTAGTTAGCTTGACGATTCTCTAACTTCTTTCCAGATGCATAGCCAACGTTGGAGATATTTCAAACAATTTTCAAATTATTTCGAGTGGACGTTGTATGTTTGCGTGCTGTACTTTATGTTTCCAGTGAGGAACACAAAAACTGAACGCCAGTTTGGGGCAGCTGCCATAGCCATCTGTATATCCTGGTTTAATCTCATCTGGTTCTTGAGACGAGTTCCTGATATTGGCACTTACATTTTGACTTTGCAGAAAGTCTTTATAACGCTGGTTAAGGTGAATGTAGCCTGCATGGCAGGCGGTTCCTAAAATTGGGCAAGCCTGGGAAATACCGCCTGCTGGGTTTGGCAGTGTAATCAAATTCCCCGTCCACCAGTGGACGGGAATTGATGATTGGCTGCGAGTCTGAGCCGCTGTCACTCAAAAGTGAATACACTTTAATATGTTTCTCGAAAGTCGAAACGCGAACTGATTGTCAAACGCGAGCAAGAGATAGCAATTAAAGATTTACTCCTTGGAAAGAATGTTTTGTCCGTTCTATGGGAAAAGCTTGATTTTTACATTGTTCTTGTTGGCGCGAGAAAATATAACGAGAATAGATACAGACGGCCGTATAGTCTTTCTTGCAACGGGTTTTATAACAGGACTATTACGCCTAGGCCTATTAGCCGCTTCACTTTCTGAACTTTTTAAGGCTTTCGTTACCACACGGCTTCGTTAGGGAGACGAGACAGTTCATATTGGCAACTGAGGTTTTTAATATACAATGGTCTATTTGTTTGAACATACACAGGCAACGCGTTTATGCCTCGTTTGATTATGGCAATCAGTTCGCTTGCATTTCGGATATTTCGCTCAGTTGCTCACACGGTACAAACTCGGTCGGATAGTTCCGAGGTAGAATTAACTTCGATTCCTAAATGAACTGAACCGGCAATTCGGCTTATTTCGGCCAACGTTTTGCCACTATCGTAACGTTTCTTTTGCTTGCCTTAAATAAATAATTTCTCCGACGATATATAAGAATACAAGATATTTTCTCTATTGCCCCGTATTTTAGTTTCAAAGCACACTTAATACACTAACGACAAGTCATTTACATTTTCCGCGCTTGCTTTTCTACCTCTTGTCGTTATTCAGAGGTCCTGATTGAAACTTTCAATGGCGTCTCTTTCGACATATTTTTATACATTTGCAATTTTGCGACCAAACAATAACATAGTTTGACAGTTTGATTATTAATATATTTAGCGTTTGCTGATTGGCTAATTGGACCCGGACAAAAAAGTGGGCGGTTATCAAATTACACTGCCAAACCCAGCAGGCGGTATTTTAGACCGCCTGCCATGCAGGCTAAAGTTAATGGGGTAGCTAATAACTAAATAAAGCTCTATCAGTTCTAATCTGTTCTCTCTACCAATATCACCATGATCAAGTAGTTTTCCGTTTGTCTGATGTGGATATCACTTAAAGAATATCACCCAAATTTTACACATTTAATTAACAATCTCACAACTTGTCAACAAGATGTGTTCACAACAGACTTGTAGCAAGCTTGTCAACAAGTTGTAACAATTGACGCTGCTATTTTATCAGGTTGCTACAAGATTGTCACTTGTAACTTATTGACATATTGTTGAATTGCAGGACGATAACAAGTTCTTGTAACAAGTTTGTTGATCTCAACAACCTTGTAGCAAGTTGTCAACAAGCCGTTGCCAACTTGTCAACAAGCTAGGAATAGTATAGAAAATCCATAGTTTAACAATAGATCCATTCATTTTCAGATGCTTTCGCTCATCGTGTTATTCTGTATGGCATTTGCATCAACGTTTTATCTCCTGTTTGCAGAGAAAAGTAGATTCGAAAACTTCCCGATTGCAGTTCTAAGCACTTTCGTGGCAATGTTGGGAGATTTCAGCTACGATGATTTGTTCGTCGAAGTTGGTGATTATAAAAATTTTTATAATTTTAAAATTTGTATGTTTATCGTGTTTGTTCTATTTATGGTGATCGTTGTGAACAACGTCTTGATTGGCTTGGCTGTTGGCGACACTGATCATGTCATGAGTATGGCTAAAGTGCAAAGATTGAGACAACATGTAAGTTGGGAAAGACCTGAAGGTCTAGCTTTTATAGTTAACATAAATTAACCTGACTTCATTTGTACTGGATAGCTCTATAAGCTGTATTGCCTTCTCTTAGTAAACGTCATTATATAATAACTATAGTGAAACACGCAATTTGATTGGTCAATAGCCGTGCAGGATCAGACAATCCTGCACGGGAAATTCTGAACAGAAAGTCTTGCACATAATTTTACAAATATACTCGCATTGTAAAGTTTCATTGTACGATACCTTTCGACTTTGAAGTAAGTTTCCAATTATTGAGACGTTGGTTTAGTTGTATGAATAAATTTCTGATCGATACATTGCTATTCAGCAAGTAGCAACGCGTATAGCGTTGAAATTCATCAGACCATGGCATGTAAGTACAACATCTCTCGCTTCAAAGTTGATCAAACGCTTCGCAATCTTCACATATTCAGCTGGAGAATCTTCAAAATTACTTTGGCTCTCTGTTTAGCGGGTTTTCCATTTCAAATTTCGTCTATTTTATCGAGAAAGTCCCTGTATTTTCGCTGTATATTTTCGCGAATTTGCGATCAAATTCTGTTCACATCTGTTGTTGTTTTCAATAGCGTGGAGTAGCGATTCTCTGATTGGTTAATTCACGAATGTTGTGAGAACTGCACATTTCATCAGTAATTTTAATCACGTTAAGCGTCGTTTCACTGTAGTAATTTTATAAAACAATTACCAAATGGTTTTCCCGTGCAGGATAGCATGATCCATGCACTTGGGATGTTGCTCGACTTTCGGAAAGCGTAAAAATACACTCGCCTGCATGGATCATGCAATCCTGCACGGAAAACCATTCGGTATTCCTTTAGTA